AACTATCCTTCCTCTTACAAAATCTGACAATTCGAGAGAACCTTGAGTTCTAGGCATGTTGAAGCACAAGATAATTAGTGTGCGGACCATTTTCATTTATATAGTGCTCTGAGAACACAAATTAGTTAGCATAAATCAGTTAAATGATGAAAAATTAGGCGTCTATTTACTTGTGACCACTCAGTGTACATAGTAATGTTTACTATAATTCTGGATTTACTACATGTATCTTCACAAAATTTGGCAAGAATTTAGTTAACATTACAAGACTGTTGTACATAAAAAGATCAGATTTATACAGGATTGGTCTAATTACTGCATACATAATTTTTTTATTCCAAAGGCCTTATGAAGGCTATATTGCAATCACAGTCTATTTATACATAATCGATTATTATGTTTTTATAACATTATTTTAAATGATATAAAATACAATGTAGAAGAAAATTTATGTATTTTGTTTTGTTTTTGTTTCCTTAATAAAAATGATTGATACTTGCAACTTTTAATGCTATACTGATCTATTGATTTTTTTACTGTTGGCTGGCATGACTAAGTCGATAAAGAATACTGTTTTGTGAGTGTTTGCCCCATTATTAGACAGTTGTGAATTCAAGACATGCCAGTGCCTGTCTCAACTTCTATTGGAACATAAATTCAGGAATGTAAGAGGTGTAGTGTTAGAAACATAATGCATACAGAATGTAGAAAATTTTAATTTATAGATTATTTAACACTAAAGAAAACATTTATGCAAATTATAAGTTACAATGTAACACAACGTATGAACAGTAATTCAACACATGAAATATTAAGGAATACTGTTATGCAATTATAAAGTAAAAAAGATAACACAATGTAAAAAACAAGATAAGTTTACAATTTATATAACAGTAATGTAGCCTAATAGTTGGCGGTGGGTGCTGCCAGCCAGTTACCTTCCCTCTAGTTAGCAATTCAAAATTAGGAGCATTGTCAGATAGCCTTATTAGCTTCCATAATCAGGAAACAATCATAATGCTCCCCTAGCTGAAAGAGCAAGCATATTTTGTGGCAATGGGAATTGAACCTGAGACCCTTGAATTCTGAGGTGCACCCCCCCCTCCCATAGCTGGGTCACATCAGTCCAAACCTGAACAAAGTTAAGTTAATTGAAAAAAAAATGTATGAGAAATTATAATCTCAATATTTCAATTACTTGAATAGATGAAATAATTGAAAATACTAATATTCAGAAGCCCTAAAGTCAGTTTAGTGATTATTTTTATGAATTATGACACTAATTGATTAACCTGAACAAACTTTTATTAATGAGAAATAATATGGACAGTATTTCAGTTACTTGGATAAATAGAATAGTCAAAAATAATAATAATCAGTTTAATCATAACTTTGATTAACAGATTATTTTATTTGACATTCGTTGATGTAATCGATGTTTATAGTTATACTGAGTAAATTGCCTAGTTTTAATGTCATGTCATGATTGTGACAATATTATAGTTAATGTACAAATATGTTAATATATATAATGATGTCATTTTCAGTTGAAAATAAAAGTATAAAGTATAAAGTTCACATGTAAAATTAGAGTTTAAACACAAATTTGGGGTTTACATGTCATGTTATATTTGAAACTAAAATATAAATGAAAAGTATTAAGTTATAATTAAAGGTGAATAATAGCTTACACTTATGATGATTATTTTGCATTGTTGACATAGTGTGTGGATTTAGAACTAATCTTAAACTCCTAAGTTGGCTAAACCTGGTAGGATGTCATTGGGATTATGGTTTGAAATACCATATTAACAATAATAATACAAAAGTAATGACTCAATATAATCTATTCTTTATAGGTTTTAATTTTCTATTATATTTTATTAGAACTTAACATTTCAAGATAATTTGTTTTAAAGTATAGTCTTCATTAATTTTAGTGATGTTTAAATTTTTAAAATTTTTATTATCTTTATAGTTAGCTTATTTTTAAACATAATTTCTGTTTGTTAAGTTGAGATTAGAAGTTCATTGTCAGGATAATTTCTACACATTCCTTCCTTTTTCTCATGTCATTTACTGGTCAAAAGCCTGGTGCTTGGTCATTTAATAATAATTGTATGTGTTAAATGGGAATTTTGCCAAGTGACTGATTATGTAATTAAAATTAGTTAAATCAGGTATTAAAAGTGTTTCAGGTCAAAAAAGAAACTGATTTTAGTAGTTTTTTCTAAGTATCTTTTCTGTTATTCAGTTATCAACCAAAAATTAAATGTATATTAATATAAGTTATTACTTTACTTACCTTGTGTGATTGCCACGTGTTTTTAACTAAAGATCAGTGCATAACCACAATGCACAATTGGGAAAAGGGTTGTTACAGTTAGAACGAACAATGATACATCTTATTGAAGACCATTAAGAGATTCTAATAATTGTGAACAGTGGCAAATGTTCTTTTTATCTCTTGAGTTCTCCTGTTCAGGAGAAGTGGTATTGTGATGTTGGTAAAAAAGGTGACCTGTAGCTGAAATTATCAGGAAAACTCCTCTTAATTACTGCATCATTTATTGGTATCTAATCTTTGTCAAGGAAAATATTGTCATTTTATCTATAATCTTTGTCAGAGATACCACAAACTTTCATTGCTATAGTCCTTATTGTATTTAGAGTTAAAACAAGTGATGCAGCATGAGTTTAGTTTAATCCTTAATGCATGAGACAATTAATGTTTTTATTTTCTAATATTCACAAATCTTTTCTCTTGCTTTTTAGTTCCTATATGTTACAAGGTTTTGAACAAGTTTAGCTGATTATTTATTTTCACTGTAATATTTCAGGTAAAGAGTAAATTTGTAAGTAATATTTATAATTCAAACATGCTCTGTCCATTAATAAGACTAACTATATACAGAAAGTAGTTAATATGTTAGTGATTAATGACAGACTTGGGAGAACATTTCTTGTGTGAGGAGGAGAAGGGGGTTTTAACATTGTCTCCTGACTGATAGGCAGTAGATTAATAATTCCTGTAACCGTGTATCTTGTAGTATAGTTACCACATGTGAATGACTAAACAAAAAGAGCAGATTATTAATAATTTTGTAAGCCCTATAAAACGTGTAATTTGTTATCATCAATTTCTCAGACACTTCTTATTTCTACTTACACTTTTCCCACCTTTGGGTCTTGTGGACATGTTTAAATGCTGCAGGGAAACACATCTGAGTTTGAACTAGCAGTAGCAGTAGTCACTGTAGTAAATATTTCAGGATATAAAAATATTTGTAGTCTGTTATTAGCTGAGTAGATTTGTGTTTCAAATAATCAATATGATAATAAGCAAATGATACCTCGCGAATTCAGTTTTTTTTCAGTGAAACTTGTTACTAATAGTGTGTTCATTTCAGCACGAGGCTGTGCTTGACACATTGTTATAAAATTCTGTAGACGTGTCTGGTAGGAACACATTTTACAATGTTAAGTAACCTTTACTGTTCTAATGAGTAGGTCTCCACATATCATTTTGCCAATTTTTTCAACACACCCACAGTTTCAACCCAGAATAGATAATTTGTACACATAGTTGTGTTAAGATTAAGTGTGAGATATTTTTTGAAGGAGTCAAGAGAAGCATAAACTAGTGATTATTGATACTTTGGTCAAGAAGGGAATGGCCTTGTGTGATCTTAAGGAAGACATAACTGATCAGTGTGAGAGTAAAGGAGCTGGTCTAGATACAGAAAAGACATCTTCTAAAAGTAAGTAGATGTCAGATATATTCCTGTCGTTTTAATTAGTAATTTAAAGTATTAGGCTATGTTTTTTATATTGCAGTAAAGTGGTGTGAAGAAAACAGTAAAAGGTTTATCAGTTTTTTTCAAACCATATAAACAAAACATTTTATAATATCTAAAATAATAGTGATATATGGTTAAAATGTTACTGTTAAGCACAAAATCTTTGACAGTTAGATGTAAAAGTAATGCAGCTTTAACATTCTTAGAAACTCCTACTTTTGATATGAGGAATAAGTATGAAAACTAAAGCATAATATTCGTACTTTTAATTGCAAATTCTAGTTAATTTTACTTTTTGCTTATCAGTTGCTGTCTCTTAGGTGTTTTGGAAATTGTCTTGCTAGTAAACTAGTTTTTAAAGTACTAATTTTTACTCTTTTTCTCATGAGTCTGTAATTTCTTAAAGATATACACAATTATTTAGTGAGAAACAACTTTCATATTTTCATTATTTTATGGCTTGTTCTTAGACATGTAACTCTAAGATGTTTCTCTTCTGTTCTTTTTATTTGGCAATATAGAGGTATGTTCACGATCTTTGGTAATAATTTGCATATCCAATCAGTTTGGCCCTAGCCTTCACCATAACCTATGACCATACAGGTTTAAAACTTGTTGCATTCACATTGAAGTGTGGTGATTTGCAATTACATACAGTTTGTGAAATTTACCTCTTCTGTTAGGGTTTTAATACAGGACTTTCCAAGTGAGGTTCTCCTATTCCAAAATTATAAAAGCACAAAACATTAGAATTTTGAAGAAAAATTTATATCTAGTGTTGATCTTTATGGTTAAAACAAAAAAAGGTGTAATTCCAGCAAGGATAAAACAGACCACTCCATGACCATCTACCAGTTGCACACCTGCAGTAGTGAAGAAAGTAACAGCTTCAAATTTGATAACGAAGAACCCATTTTGAGACTAATAATGCTTGGAGATGGCTTGAATGGGTAATGAAGAAAAATTTTAATACAAGTTTAACATAACAGCAAATGTACAATGTTACGACAAGGTTTTGTCATCATCAGGTACAAGCATCTCCAAGCATTAAAAGTAACAGCTTGTCACTGAAGGTAACCCAGTAACACAGTGGTCTATTACTAAAGTAGAAAAATCCTTTGGAACTGTAAACAAGATAATTCACATGTGTTTAGTCTACAAAAGCAACACGAGCTGTATTCACAAGCTTCTGGGATGTAATAAATGGTAGTATATGATTAATTTGTGACTTGCATACAAGATGATTAGTGGCAAACCCATGTGCAATAAAACAAAAGTTTACAAGTGAGATAACCTTTCATTTAAATTCACGTTAGTTTGTGATAAGAAAGATAAAGATACAAAATATTGCTTATTTTGTATATTGATTCAGCAAACTTGCAGTAATCTATACATTATTATTAAGAAAGATGTTATTACAGAGTTTACTCATTCAAACTATATTTGTTCATTCATTCACTTCTCAGTTATTCATTCCTTGGTATTTTTAGTATGCATTGGTGATTATGTTGAAAATAGATGGTTCTGAAGCTAAGAAATCAGATTATTGCTGTAATATAATTCAATGAAAGTTAATTGTCCAAGTAATCTGTTAGCACATTTCCATGAAAAGTGGTTTCTGTTTCAGTAATTTTATCCATCCTAAAATTTAAAAACTTTTAAAAATTAAGCTAAAAATAGATGTTCTGATTTACACTTAAAAATGGACATTGTTAAGATTAATTTTTTACCATTTGACATCAGTAGTGAACAAAATAATTGAAATTTTATTTAAGGTTTATCAACACAAGGAATTGTAAACAGCACACAGCAATCTGATGGAAGTGGAGAATCTGAAAATGGAAAGAAAAGCTCGATGGTTTGTTCTTCATCCTCTGTAGTGAAAGATATAAACAAAATCTACATTGAACTTCAAAAATTTGTGGATGTCAGTGATTCAAAAGTAAGTCAAATAGTTTTAGTTCCTTCACTAAAATGTAAAAAAAAAATGTTTGTTTGTTGATATTATATGTTTAAAAAACTGTTCAAAGTTTTGTTAATGAAGCCATAACAATGGTTTCCACTTTTCTTCATTTCTAGGACTAAATATTTGTTGAAGTTTTCGAAATTTTATCTTTCAATGTCTTAACTTTTGATACTTTATCACACAAAATATAAAGATGAAGAATTTAGTTTCTCTTTCATTTGTGTATAACTATCTTTACAAAGTTGTGTTAATGTTCAGGTAATGAAAAACTTTGTTCAATTCGTGACAGTGCATGGTGGAAGAAGAGAAATCAATATTCTGTAACAGTAACTATGTATGATCTGGAGACTATATTGATAGTACTTTTACTTTAAAAAATAGTCTAACATAACTTTAATCATGATTGTATACAGTCTTAGAATTACATTTTTTTAGAAAAAAACTGTACATTTTGTGATGAAAGATCAGAAGGTTTTAAAGGATTGTTCAATGCAATTTATTTAAATTAATAAAATATTTGATAAATTTATGTGATCTGGCTATACTATACAGTTTCTTTTATAATTTCAGGCTGCACCCTTCACTGAGAAACATGCACTATTTCATAATCACTATGGCAGAGCTATTAAACTACTGCTGAAGCTACAGGAAGAGAAAGCTCTCCAAACAGTAGAGAAACGTTTGATAGAGGTATTGTGTAACATATTCTTAAATATACTTTTCTTCAAAATTTCATGCCTTGCATGCTTTTATGATTGTGGAATAGGAAAACTTCACTCTGGAAACTCCTTTAATATAATTTTTTCAAAAAAGATCAGTTTTATACACTATCTGCACTTGCAAATCACCAAACTTCAAGTTAATTACAATAAGAAGGTCAGGGCTTCTACCTGTGTAATAGCAAAACAAATAGAACCAGAATTTACAATTGTAAAATGTTACTTTATTGTAAATTAGTCATGAAATAGTATTCTAAAGTTAACTAAAGGAAAGGTACAGTAATGAAAACTGAGGTTTTATCAAACACCAAGCTTTTGATAGACAAAGCGGGGTTGCCAGTAACGTAAGGATTTTATTCTCCATGTAAAGTTGAGACAGCTTAGTCTGGTATATGTTCATTAGCCTGCTCAAGTGATATGTCTAGTTCCATCCCTATCTTGTTTGGCTCCTTTTTTCAAGTTCAGTAGCCAGCCCTACATAGGTTTTTTATTTAGCGATAAATTTTTTCCTTATACTTGTGTAATGTTTGACAATAGACTTTCAAAAAGCATACACACTTTGTTATACATTTTTCTAGTAAGATATTTTTGTTTATTTATATGATTTATTGTTTCTATAGCTATTTCAAAACCTTGGATGGAATCATTGTTCCCAACTATATGAGAGATCATTCTTTGTGAGATATCCTCCAGACTACAGGCTCTTTTAGTTGAATTTACCCCTTAGGCTATTTACAGTGCTGTTTGGAAGTACCCACTGGATAATTTACCTTCTCTGGATGCTTGCTCCTGTTATCACTATTTTTCAGTATTACAAAAAAGAATAGTTACTTAATCTTGATTGTCAGTTCTTGAAAAAGAAATAGTGATTTATGTGCCAAGAGATATTAAAACTATAATTTGAATTACAAGAAACACCTTTATGTTTTTTTTAATACAGTTGTTAAAAGTAATATAGTAAAATGAGAACATGAGTGTATTATTTGTTTTTAATGTTTAATTTTATCCTTCTTTTATGATATAATTGCAGGCAATTGAGACATGCTTTGCTGGTGAATAATTTTATTAGTTTATGTTGTGAACTAATTTTAAGTTCGGCAAAGCTTTTTATATGCTTCTAATTGAATGTGAGAAACAAAAAACTGTTGTTATTGTAAATGATGTGCTTTATATTAACTGGCAGTTTCTTAAAGTTCCTGTTTTATTTTGTTTGCTAAAAAAATAATCAAAAAATTCTTGTATCAATCTAAATGCAAATAATATTTTTATGTTTTTAAACATTTATTAATTTTTATCCTTATTAGCTAATTATCTTATGACGTACCTCTTTCAAATTGAATTTGCTAAGATATGATATTCATTTCACCTTTGCCATGATGTTATGCTATTAACTTCACCTTGTTTTTTAAAAATCTTTACTTGATAAATGTAAAATGAGCATTATAGATACTGCTCATTTTGTGATTGTTAACCTGAAAATATAAAAATTTATTGATCCCTCACTGAAGCTATTGAAGAGAATTAAGAAATTGAATTAGAAATTATCAATATACATGTCAGTCAACTGATGTTAGTTTAAATCATTTTATATGAAAAAGTGCCAGCAAAGAAGTGGAGTTAAGAGTTTAGTTGCCATTAGTTAGTGAAACTTACTACACCTAGCTGTGAAACTTTGAAAACAAAAAGAAATTACTGGTTTAATTCTAGAGCCTAAAGCTTTTCGCATTGTGTTGTGATTTGACATGTGATGGACATTGTTCATAAAAATCAGTTAAAAATATATGAAAATAGAAATTGACACTTGGTTTTAATAATCAAATATTAAAGATGGAGGATGTTACGGAAGTTCTGAATGTAGAGTTTTTGACTAGATAATATGCTCAGTTTCGAACCCATTTTAATAGAGAGTTGGGGACAGACTTGCATGTTGCTCATTGTACGTTTGTTTTGACATAAAGCTTATCTACTTTGGTCAGTACATAGACACTTTTTTTTTCATCATGTGTCAAAGTGTATCTTTCATTTATCATTTTCCACATTACACTATAAACTATACTCACTAATACACTGGTGGGTGACACATAGTGTATAGTAAGCATGCCACTCCTCACCAAAAAAAAAGACTAAGGTTGTTTCTGGAGGCACTTTCTGTAATCTATTGTCACTTAAAATGGGTCCCTTGATCCCTGGATAAACTAGGTGATGCCTCCACAGGGCCGGCGCTATCATTAGGCCAACTAGGCAGCTGCCTAGGATGCAGACCTCAGAGGGGCGCACTACTGACTTTTAAGATTGATTATTACTTATTCTTGCAATTTTAAATGGATTTATCAGTTTCAAGTTTTGTGCTTTTTATTTTTTCTACAAAACATCTGTTCTTAAAAATCGAAGTTGGCAATTTTTTTGGGGGGGGGGTGCAAATAGCTTGCCTCCACCTTCCGATAATCCTTGACCCACAAAGGCTAATGTGTCATTGGGTTTACACTTAAATCCTTAGCAACATTTAACACAAACTCATATGAAGAGTTACACTGAACTCATAGTGAACTTCAAGAAAAACTTACTGAAGCTATAGTTAATCCTCAGATAGCTAAGTATGTGAAATTTATATTCAACTTCAATCTTCAGGCAGCTACATGTGTGAAATATACATATAATGGTGCTGTACCTTTCCAACTGATAATTGAGAGTATATTAAAGCTTTCTATAGGAGGCCTCAACTGTTAGAGATGGTTTACAAAATTTAAATTAAACCTTGCTGAAGTAGTACTAAAATCTTAGACAAAGGTTTTCACGTCTACTTCAGAGAAGTTTTCTACAATTCAAGGTAAATTTTGTCACTTTAAAGTCAAATCTTGCTAAAATTGCACTTGACTTTTTGCCAGCATGGTTTAGCAAATTCAAATTAATTACTTCTGACATTTTTCAGCTTCAGATCGTCTCGTGTTAAAGCAGGACTCAGACGTTTTTTTTCGACGTAACTCTTATTATTGTTGTACTTGGTATTTAATGGTAGATTTTTCAATCCCACAGTAGACTTTTTTTTTTCAAACTGGACCTAGCTTTAGGTCTAAAAAGCTACCTTTAACCTTTGTCAAATTGAAATAGGATTCTCTTGAAACTGCACTCAGCCTTTACCAGGTACTAATTCAAATAATCATCTGGTATCAAAAACATTATTTATGTTGATGTTTTTTGTTACCACAGTGCAGGTAAGGGATAATTAACATACTTTTGTTACATATTATTGTTCATACATGAAACAATATTTAATAAAAAAAAGTTTTTTGTTGTTTGTATATGTTACTATTGTATTATTTTGCTCATATTTTGATTTTAGCTCAATTTTTCAACAATATGGTTTTTTGATTATGAGTTAACATTTAATTTGCAGAAATATTCCAGTTTTGTGTTGCTCTTATTTTTAAACGTTATAAAAGATAGACTGAATAATCAGCTTCAGTAAATTTAATATCACTTTTTTAATTAGTTTTTAAGAGTAGCTCAGAAAATAGTTTTACCATAAATTTCAAAGAAGTTGGGAACTCCATAATTTTTTACGTCTGTACAAAATTACTTTTAATCAGTTCTGCTTAGAAAAACCATTGTAATGAAATTGTGCTTGAATTTTTATTACAAAAAGATGTATGTATAGAAAAAAAAATTCTTTTTATTTCTAATTAATATAGTAAATCTTATTAGCTCAATCTCATTTTGTGTTCAGTGTTTTAATTTTTTGATAAATTGTGAAATATTAAGCTCTTGCAAGAAGATTTGTCTAATATAGCTAATGTAAATAATATCAGGAGCATGACCAGGCATTCAATAAATCTTATAAAAACATGTTTTAATGTAGTCTTCTTGTGTTTACATTTCACAGAATATATATCGTTCAAGTCTATTATAATCTAGTGACGTGTTTCTCAACCATTAGTCTGTGGAATTTCCAAAAACAAACAAACAAAACTGACAGAATATTAATATGTAAATTGTAATCGTCTTTCAATATATTTGCATTTTAGTGGTCTGTGACAGTTTAGGGAAGCAGTTAGTTTGTCCCTGGTATCGAAAGATTAAGAAACGCTGGTTTAGTATGTAGGGATCAAAACACAGCATGCTAGATTCCAGTTTCTGATACAATCCTAATTGAGCACCGGTCTCTCTTTATATTGTATTCTGCACCAGTTTCAAAGTTTCTGTAATTCATCCTTGTTCTGTAAAATATAAAGCTAAAGTTAGGGGTGTCTTTCTTTTGAATTTAACCACATTTCTTCAGTAATTTAACACAATTTTTACTCTGCTATATATCTAATAGTCTTGTGAGTTCTTTTTAACTTCTTAAAATAGTTCAAGGAAAGAAAAAGTATAATGTAGTGGAAAAAGCCTTGTAATTTGAACAGAGATAAAATATACTGGTAGATTAAGAAACTAACACAAATGTTTCTTCTGCTATTCAAACTTTCGGGCCAACATTTCATAACCAAGTAATTTTAATTCAGTAAATATTATCGCTCTTTGTAACGATTCACAGTGGATTCAATGCAAGCTCATAATAAGTCACAGTATCGGTATTTAATAGACACAAATTTGTAGCAGTATAATGAAGTAAACCTATGCTATGAATGGCCAAAATATCCTAGCTTCAAATAATCGTTTTAAGAACTGCCGTACAATTTGTATACTCATAGTCAATTGTTTAATCACTCTTCGGAAACATGCAAATTCAATGATATATTTAGACTAAACTTCATATTTCAGACTTTCACATTACACAGCGAACGAAACTTGTTAAAGAAATAATAATTGGCAGAGGAATGATAGTATTTGAATGAAATAATTGTTATGACACACTTGAATTATTTAAATAAATAAATATATGTTGCACTAGAAAACAGGATACTGGGTGTGTGTGGGGACTTCATTGTGCAAGGTCGTGCTTGCATCACATGATGACACACGTGCTTTGTATTACACATACAACACCGACAAGAAGTTGAAGTATGTGTTATAATGTCTTTTAAGATTTCCGATACGCATTACACAATTCTATCATTTACGAAAGATTCTTAATTCCATTGAAAACCAATGAAGTAGGCAACTCATTATCACATTAGAAACACATTTAGCTTTTTTTTTTTATATTTACCTCCACCTAAAAAAATAAACATGTTCCATCACAACGACCCCAGTGGTATGTCTGCGGACTTAAAACGCTAGAATCCGGGTTTCGATACCCGTGGTGGGCAGAGTCCAGATAGCCCATTGTGTAGCTTTGTGCTTAATTCTAAACAAACAAAACATCACAACAAGCTCAACTATCGTTGATAACAGAAGAAAGAAAAAAGTTTCAAACTAACGAAATAAAATACGTTTGAAATCTTGTTTTTATTTCTATCGACTTCGGTTAATTAGGAGCAAAAAAGCCTGCAAGTGTTTATTTTACATTAGTAAAAGTACGAATTTTCATTGGTATTTTACAGCGGTTGATTCGGGAGAGTATATAAGGTGACTAGCCCCTTCTTTTAATGGGAAAATTTTAATAAAATGTAAAGGGTGATCAGAATAAAAAAGGAGAGTCTAAAATCCGCTACCAACCCATTCCTTTTCCTCTTGCTACATGGAAAATGTTTGGAATGAACTAGTTGGTATGGTTTAAAACGTTTTCCAGAAAAGTATGTCCCAGACTACTCTTAAATCGTGGATGAACCCTTGTTGTAGAAACTTGAACTGAGATTCAGGAGAGGGGAATAAAACTTATGTGAAGCCTAAACTTAGATTAAAAAGTGAGAAAAATTTCGTCGCATTTAATTAAACGTACTCGACATTTTCCAGACTGACTTGTGACACCAGGAATCTGGCATTGCGTATCAAACGTAATTTGAAACAAACTGTACATATGTACAAGTACTGAATACATATGTACAGTTAATGCTACATTTAAAAACAAAAATCACGTCGAATGAAAGATATGTAAATATAAAGTTCTTTGATAATTCCATGACTGGCAAATTGTATGTGAAGCTGGCGCTCTAAGTATATACAGTACCAAGTATGTGATACGAACTGATGAAAAAATCTACTTGTATTAGTAATATATTTTAAAACTTTATTGCTACACGACTACCACAGAAACATATCGAATTTTAAATATATTTAATAGGAAACCAATATAAAGGCCATATGGCATCATATCTTTTTCAGTACTCCCCGATTGTAAGTTTGCGAATATTGAATTAATTGGTGGAATATTTCTTATTTACGCAAAAAGAGAGAATTTAAATAAACACAGAAAAAAACTTTAACATATATTGTGTTCGTTTATTAGCTTCAAGTTATTTATAAACCTGCGAGTTGGAAAATCTTCTTGTCGAATATTCGTTCACTCCGGTCTACCGGAGTTAAGAGCAAAGTTAATCCGGGTTACTTGATGGTAAAGATGCTTCAGACTTTATATGTATTTCACGCAAGACATTTACAAATAACGGGTCCCCCGGTGGGGCAGCAGTAAGTTTTCGAATTTACAAAGCTAAATTCAGGGGTTTGATTCCCCTCGGTGAACACAGCAGATAGCCCTGTGTGGCTTTGTTGTAAGAAACACACACAAATAATGGAGTAAATTTTTAATTCGTCATGCGTAAATATAATACAAACATACTTTTAAGGTGCATAATGAACAACCTGCTGAAAGGTTTTTATTATCATCGGTGATGATGTTTCTAAAGAAGATCCACAAAAGTGCATCGAGGCGTCGTCTCCAACAACGAAACCTCCAAACAATTTGTTAAGGTAAGCACAAAGCTACACAATGGGCTATCTGTACTGGGCCCACCACGAGTATCGAAACTCGGTTTGTAGCGTTGTAAGTCCGCAGACATACAGCTGTGTCACTGGGGGGGGTCCTCCAAAAACATTGTCCCTTATAAATCCATCTTACCTACTAATTTACCTGCTAACTATGATCTTCAGAGAAACAATACTTTTGGAACTTTCCCACCTTCGCCTCCTGGTGGTAAGTCAGCAAATTGTAAAAACATATTTTCCATTTAAGCATAGTGTAAGTTATTTTATTATAAGTTACAGCTTTTACAGTAAGGAAGATTTTTTATAACACGTACGACGTTTCGATCACTGGTGCAGTTATTCTCAAGTACACAAGTTTTAATGGTAAAGAAGGTTTTTAGTACTTAAATAAACTTTGAACAATCTAACAATGTATTTTAAATACTAGAAGTGATAGTTGTTATTTATGCATGTGCATATCAATCCGCGTGAACTGACAAATTATTGATTTAGGGCTGAACAGAAAAAACAAAACAAAAAGTGAATAACTATTTTTCAAAATGTGGAATATGTTATGCGAAATATTTTCATAAGATTAGGAATGTGTGGGGAAATAATGATCAAAGACATATAGAGATGTACCTGTGGGGAAATAATGATCAAAGACATATTGAGATGTACCTGTGGGGAAATAATGATCAAAGACATATAGAGGTGTACCTGTGGGGAAATAATGATCAAAGACATATTGAGATGTACCCATTATTTCCCCACAGGTACATCTCAATATGTCTTTGATCATTATTTCCCCACAGGTACATCTCTATATGTCTTTGATCATTATTTCCCCACAGGTACACCTCTATATGTCTTTGATCATTATTTCCCCACAGGTACATCTCAATATGTCTTTGATCATTATTTCTCCACAGGTACATCTCTATATGTCTTTGATCATTATTTCTCCACAATCAAAGACATATAGAGATATACCTGGATATTTGTTAATTATGTTTGATTTGATCAATAAAGCTTCTCTGATTTTTCTTCTGTTAATGTCAGGTTCGTGTTTTGGTGCTCTGATATTCTGTTTAGAAAAACATGGACTTGGAAAGGGATTTTTTGGTGTTCTTTTAACCTGATCTTCAAGTTACATCCTGTTTCACCTATGTAAAAGACCGGACAATTGTTACACTATATTTTGTAAATGTTTCCTGGTGGGATGGGTTTGTTGTATTAGTTTTCTTAACATTTGTTTAATTTTTCATTCCAGGGATGAAAATGAATCTAGTCGTTATGTTAAAGTTATATTTATCTACTAGTTATTTTCAAAATTTCTGGGGCCGGCATGGCCAGGTAGTTATGGGACTCGACTTGCAATCTGCGGGTCGCGGGTTCGAATCCCCGTCACACCAAACATGCTTGCCCTTTCAGCCGTGGGGGTGTTATAATGTGACGGTCAATCCCACTATTCGTTGGTAAAAGAGTAGCCCAAGAGTTGGCGGTGTATGGTGATGACTAGCTGCCTTCCCTCTAGTCTTACACTGCTAAATAGTGACGGCTAGCGCAGATAGCCCTCGTGTAGCTTTGCGCGAAATTCAAAACAAACAAACAAAATTTCTGATAGAGGTATGCTAGTATTTTCTATATATATGGGAAAAGCAAAAGTATCCGTTCTAGTGACAGGAAAAGTTTAAGTTTATCTATCAACTTAAATTATTTCGTGGATTTTAAAAATGTTAATTGTGTTGCACTCTTGGTTACACTCAGAACCAAAGCTCTGAGCTACTTATACCGCGAAAAGTAATTGTTAAGCATTTCAGTCATGTATCAACATTAACATACTGTTACGTCTCCGTTTGTTAATTGA